CCCCCCCCCCCCCCCCTCCCACGGGTAACCCTTGGGGGGGGGGGGGCAGGGCCACGAACTTTCCCCAGTGTGGGAAACCCAGGAAGCTTTCAGAAGACAGGAAGGAAACATTCTGGTGTTGTTTCTAGCCTAATCTTTATTGCCCTGTTTACAGAAACTGCCTCTCCGGTTAACCCTTATTACATTGTAACAGCTAAGCTGAAATGCCCATTGATGTGAGTGATGTTGAGTGGGCCATGCCCACTCGGTCACATGTCCACCGATCCATGCCTACCCAGCTGGTCATTAGGGCAGAGAACCGGTTGTTACATTATTTGAATCCCACCACTGGACTATATAATGGTGTTTAGCATTTTGGGGGGGAGGGGGACTGCCTGCTAGGTGCAGCCTTTAATGGACGGCTACTTGAAAAAGAAGAAGGAATACAAAAGTATACAAAAGAGATAAAATATTTAATTTTGCACATAATTGCAGCAGCGAGAATAGCACTCGCACACAATTGGAAAAGGGATACCATGCCGACAGACTGTTTGATAATCCAAAAGATTCTTGATTGTGCAGAAATGGATAAACTCACATTGGAGTTAAGAGACAAGGAAGACTCAGAATATTATACAGTTTGGGAAAACTGGTATCAATGGATAAATAATAGAAACATGAAAAGTACAGCTTAGAAGCATAAGATGTATAGATATAGGAATAATTAGGAATATATAAAAATGCATTTGAATAGTAAATGATTATGTTAGTACTGTCAAAAAAGGAATGTAACTTATACAAAACTTGTTTTAAAGGTATTTGTAAATAATGGTTTAAATGCTCAATAAAGGGTTTGGTTTTTTTTTCAAAAAATAGAAAAAGGACATTTTGCTCTCTGTTTAGAATCCGGTTTTAAAGGGTTTATATTGTTGGATTCTGTCCTTTGCTGTTGTTATTTGCACTTAATGGTTTTTGATCTGAGCAGGGACAGGAATCCTATGAGGCTGCAATCAAAGGTCTCAAACCTCTGTCTTAGTCGCACTAAGTTAGTTTGCAAACTTCAGTAAGAAGGAAAAGTTGTCCCTATGTTTTCTTGCAGCCCTTAAGAGGACACAAATTTCTGAGACCCCCATAGCAGTGGTGGGTTTCTGGTTCGCACTGGATCGGGAGAACCGGATGGTGAAATGGACCCAGAAGTAACTTCCAGAACACCTGCCCCGGCCCTGTCGCTCCACGCTCACCCCGCCTGCTGGAGAGGTCCAGCGGCACAATCCACCAGACAGCAGAGGCAAGCTCAGGAGTTTTCTCCTGGATTCCCCNAGGGTAGCCCCATGTAGAGCGTGTTGCAATAATCCAGCCTTGAGGTGACAAGGGTGTGAGTAACCGTTATAATGTACGTATATGCGTCCCACTCTGTTAAAGGCCCAGCACCCTCACTGGGCTGTCTATAGTTTGTTGATGACGCGATTTTGTTGTCACACATTTGTCGACGCGCTATTGTCGAAAATCAATTAGCGATTTTGACGGCACTCATTTGTCCGTCACGGTTTTGTTGGCGCGCCTATGTCTATCGCGCATTTGTCAGTAAACCATCATATTACCTAGTTTGGGTAATAAAATATCTTCAAGAAAACAACCAAGCTCACAGAGCACCAAAGATACCTCATTTCAACCCTAAGCTACAGATATTCTCCTCTACTGATCAAGCTAACTCTTGGTTGCTGTCTGAGACAGCCCACTGGAAGTTTAAAAATATGACAGACACAAATGCAGACATTGACGACTGGAGTGGAGTAATATTGTTCTGCCTACCCTCCAAATCCACTTTTCTATTTGCTGTTTCCTGCAGCAGTACAAATATGTATTGACATTTGGAGGATTTGTGTAAGATTCAAGCAAAACAGTTCCATTGGCATTCTTTGTGGAGAAGATGATAAATATGGAGAAGTCTTTCTTGTGAGGAGAAAATGGAGAGCAAGCTACAAAATTGCAGAGCAGGCAGCATTAAGCTACTCTTCTTTGACAGCAAAGATTTAGTAGAGGGGGGAAAAAACTACTGAAGATAGTCAGATTGCATGATTCCTCTACCTGCAAGGAAGCTCTCAATTCACCTCATTAGCACTGTATCAAAATGGAGCACTAGGAAAAGTCCATTATCTAGTGCTTATAAATTATCACAGGACATCATTACCTTGGCTGCTGAAGGTTACCGTGATAATTATATTGATAAGATGGGTAGGATCTGTGATGTAGCTTCCCCAAATATCTTTTCATCAAGTTCTTTTATCTCCTCTAATTTATAAGTGTTAACAAATGTGTATACAGTCAGTATTTGTTCTATCTTTCTTCCCTTGCTTTTGCCAGGCTCACATTCATCCTTCCTTCTTATTGAATTATCTCTGTACCTTTATATTGTTAGTCTCTCCTCTCCCCCGCTCCTGCCTCTGTCTTTTATCCATCCATCTTCCCCTGCATGCTGCACACACTTTTGCTCTTGTTTCGTCAGTTGGTCGACCTCTGTTCACTTTCCATGAAAAAGTGACTCTTGTGTTCTTTATTGAGTCAGTTCCACCAAGAGAAGCACAAGGGGAATTTCATATTCATACATCCCTCATCCCCACAATGCAAAATATGGCTTTGAAGTACTGCTCTTTCTCCGGTAAGCTTGCTCAGAACCAGAGTTGCTATCTTACACCTAACATATATAAATATATATAAAAATATAAAAATGGCAGTCATGGAAAGTCAAAATAATAGCCGGCTGTTCTGACCCCCTCCTCCATCCAGTAACGAATGCCGAGACAAGCTTAAATGAGAATGTCCTTTAATAACAAGTTCAGACTCTCAGTGGCTGAAAGCCAAGTAAACAAACAGATAAGAACAAGGCCGACAAACTTTGGCAGCAATTCAGACAAACTCTGGCAGCAATCCAGCCTGCCAAGTTTGTTTCTCTTGAGTCAAAGCGTTGACTTCTGCAAGCAGTTCGTGGCACAAGCA